CTGTCGGTTCACACCCCATCACAAGCCAGCAAAACATCCACGAAACAAAGAAAGGTCTGTCACAGCCAAAATATATATATATATATATATATATATATATATATATTTTATGTTTTTTTTGGGGGGGTTTCGTCACTTTGTACGGGACTGGCGTACGGCCGTACAACAAAACCCCGTACGACGTACGGTGGGCAACACAGTCTGTGTAGGTTTTCCTCCAATCAGCCCAAATGAGCTGTCTGATGCTGAACAGCACCAGGTTCATGGTAGGGAGATCTGAATAAAATTTAGGGGTAACTTCGGCGCAGTCACGAAAACAGTTTGTAATTGCACTTCAGGCAATCTCGCGAATACAACACACCCCCACGCGACCCCACCGGACCCGAAACGTAGGTCATATACATTCAGCATTACCGGCCCTTTTGCCTCAAATGCAATTACAAACTCAAACCCTGACTGCGCCGTAGTTTTCTCTAAAATTTATTCCTAAAGAGTCTGTCATTTCTCAGGGTCCAAATGACCTGCATGATGGCAACCCTGCAGGCCGTGGCTACGTAGGCCCAACCCTGACCAATGTCCTCAGCGTTGGTCAACAGACCCTCCACCACAAAGTGCTCGTCCCAGTTTAGGTTTATACTATCCATAGCTTAGCCCACCAGACCCATATTCTTTTGGTGTCATTTTTGCACCCTGGCTGGGCGGGTAACGGCCGCTGTGTAAAAATGGAGGGAAAGTGTTTTGCTGTAAAAATGGCCGGAGGGTGCAAAAGGCTCCTCTATCCCCGTTTGGGGGGGAATGGATACAAACAAAGGTTTCGTCGCGGGGAGGTTTTATGACTTTTGCCTTTTCTAAATCCGGGGGAGAGAAGGCAACTCGAAGAATCTGGGCTGTTGGGGCCACGCCCTCCATGAAGTGTAGAGCTGTGCTATAGTTCATACAGGAGGGCTCGGGCAGTCTACTTTTCTAGAACTTATCAAACGAACTTTTCAGACCATCAGAAATTTGTTGAGGCTACCGGGCTTCACCCGAATAGAACGCCGGGTCATTGTCGCCGCATCTGGACGGAGATGGGCCCAAATACGGCCATAATGACTGTGCGTTATATGGGGGTGCAGCCTGTAGTGCAGGTACAAGGCTTGTACAGACTAGTCTTGCTAGCAGAGCACGCCTATCTGGCGTCTTAGGGTGAAGAGGCCGAGAGGTCTGTTGTCAGTCTCAGAAAGTCTGTCAGGAACACCTGATGTGTTCAAAACGTCTCTCAGAATGTTTGGCACGCAGGAGTCTGGACCCGGTTTCCAGCAGGCGCAACTCTCCACGAATAGACCGGCGGAGCCATAGGATCTTTGGGAAAAAGAAGAACATATTATTATACATATACTTTTTTTTTTTTTTTTTTTTTTTTTGGTTATTATACATATACTTTTCGCGGCCAAGATCAAGTGTTGTGGTCCATGGGGCCATATGAGAAAGGAAAAAAAAGGGAAAAAAAAAGAACATAGTTTATGTGAGGTGGGCAATGGTTGGGATACTACCCAGCCCTGATGACGCGACAAGCTAAGCTGGCTGATGCCGTCAGATACCCCCGGACCTCGACCTGATCAGTTCAAATTTTTGTTTTGTTTTTTCTCAGGTAATTCAGAATTGTAGTTTTTTTTTTTTTTTTTTTTTTTTTGGGTTAATTTGCAAAATATCCCCAGAAGTTGAGGTATATGCCAAAATGCCCCTAAAAGATGTGGTTAGAGTGGAATGCCCCTCTGACAAAAAAAATATTTTGCGAAATACCCCTGGCGTCGGTTGGACCCCCATCTTTGCAATATACCCCTACCGGGTACCGTCCAACTTTGCCAAATGCCCCAGTCCTTGCCAACTTCTCCTAGGCGCTATTGCAAAAGGACAAAGCCCAAACGGGGAGGTCCAGATTGCAAAGTTGCACACCCGCCTGACAGGGGCACAACACACAGATTTCGGCCCAAAAGGGCATTCCGCTCTACCCACATGTTTCAGGGGCATTCTGGCATAATACACATGTTTCAGGGGCATTCTGGCATATATCTCAACTTGTGGGGGTATTTTGCAAATAATCCTTTTTTTTTTTTTTTTTTTAAAGAAGAACGCTTTTATTTTTATTTTTATTTTTATTTTTTTGTTAACGCGTTTTCTGTTAAAAACTTACAAAAAGTTAAAAACTCGTAAAAAAAAATGCTAATCTTCTTTCTCGTAGTATTTTACTTATCTGTCTGGGGCGAGGGCCCACTAGCAAACAGGATCGGACCGAATGCCTGCATCTGGACGTGTTTGTAGAGAGGTGCGGGAAATCCAGCTTGAACTTCTTTTCTGCATCTCTGCATAAAACACATCCAGATTCAGGCATTCGATCCGATCCTCTTTGCTAGTGGGACCTCGGCCCTGCACCCAGCAGAATTCGACAGTTCAGGGGTGTACCAACTGAGGGCCAGTTCGTGATCAGTTTAATATCTGATCCGTGGTCCATCGGACCACACTTATTAAAAAAAAAACCAAAAAAAAAACAAAAACAAAACGTTTTCAGGTGCGGCCGTGCTGCACTCTTGGTTTTGCACGAGTGTAGAGTAGTGCAGCGAGACCCAATATCAGAGTTTCACAGTGACCTTGGCGTTTTCCACAATGTATCTGGCTTCATTTATGGACAGCACTGGATGAGTGTGAGGGCAATCACCTTCAGAGCTGTGTTCGTCCCCAGGCGGCCCGGCAGGGGGAAGGTCGCCCAGGTACCCTCCCGGGCGGCCTCGGCCGGCCAGGGACCGGGTAGGGTCCCGGGCGATCCCAGCGCATAATATTAAAAAAATAGGAAATACAAAAAATTCAAAAAAATCCGGAAAAAAAAAACCTTGTGTAAGATTGCAATACAAACGACTTTTGGCTGAGGGCCACCTCGAAAACATGAGTCCAAATGTACCCTTTTAACCCCTTTAGTCACTGTTTATACCCCCCACCCCCCCCTGGATGACCCATCACCAAAACCAAAGTCAAGATCGGATTCTGACTGCTTAGGCCAAGCGCAGTCCCGGGCTGAAGTTTTTTTGTTTTTTTGTTTTTTGGTATCCTTGCCTCTTTTTGGATCTGTCTGGTTTTGCCGGGCGACCCCCAATCTGGCCAACTGGCCCGGGCGTGCCAGACCGGGCGAGGCCCAACATAGCTTCAGAGCACTATCTGGCCTGTTCGTTCCAATTTTGACGGATGTCCCGAAGGACTCAAAAACGTTTTCATACCTTTCTCGCCCTTTTGGCTAATATCTTTCTTTTTGTTTCGGGACAAAAAAAATAATAAAAAAAAATGTTGTATCTGATCCGTGGTCCATCGGACCACACTAAAACAAAAAAACAAAACAAAAAAAAACACAAAAACACGTTTTCAAGTGCGGCCGCCGTGCTGCACTCTTGCTTTTGCTCGAGTGTAGAGTACTGCAGCGAGACCCAATGTCAGAACTTCACAGTCATCTCAGCATTTTGCACACTGGATGAGTGTGAGAGCAATCACCTTCTCTTTTTTTTTTTTTTTTTTTTTTTTCCCAAAAGCAATCACCTTCAGAGCGGTCGTGTCCTTTTTTTTCCCCTTGTTT